AAATTAGATAAATGGTAAAGAATTTGGACTGTTGGCTTTGTGCCGTTACACCCAGACGCTTTTATAAAAACAACTATGATGTGCTGTTCCCTATGTCTGGGCGAACTGCCGGTGCTTTTCTTGAGAAGATTGAGATTCTCAGTAACTGAGTCTATTACAAGTTCTGAACATCAAAAAGGATATTTATTTCTTAAAGTTGCAAACAGAACAGTCGATTGATGAACCAAATAGATATTTCTTCTTTCTCTTTTCCACCAGTTACTGAGTCAGCCTTTCCCCAAGTGGCAAAGGGATCCAGGGATCTTTCACCCTAATCCAGAGCTGTTGTCTTGTAGAAAGAACAAATCTTTCCCTATCTATCTAAGCTCCAGATTAGCCTTGAAGATAAGGCAATGCAGTCTCTGTCTCTATAAGACTCTATAAAACTCAATTCTCAAAGCTCAATATCTATTTTTCTTTATACTCTATAGCTRTCTTATAATCTATCTATAGCTCAATTCTTCTCAATAAACTTCTCTGTCTATCTTAATTTCTCAATTCCTATCTATAACTCAATTAAGCTTATCTAACTATAATAMCTCAATTAAGCTTATCRRAATTGTTTTTGCAGWGGTTTTGTCAGAGCTACCTTTCRASCRTCCAGCACATCAGATTCCWTCTTCAGAACTGAACAYYCAGGYWGGACTCCAAAATGGAYGTCTGGCCTGGTAAAAGGGGTGGGCTCAAAAGTTACTCTCTGGGCCAATAACTGCAAAGGAGGCCTGCAGACTGGCTTTGSAAACCTGCTACTATTAACCTTTAGGGCTCTTGCAAACTGCAGCAACCCTGGGACAAAATGCAAAAGAAAGCAGCCTCAAACAGCTGAAAGGTAGGGCAAACCAGGCTCCTGGGAGATGGAACAGGCTTAAAGAAAATTCTGTGCTATGACCTTAGAGAATTTTTCAATAAAATGATCAACAGGTGGCACCTGYCCCCAACAAAATTAGCTAAAACTAGCCACTTTGAGATTCTTTCGGGAGAAATAAAGTGGGGCATGAAGAGAGAGGGGTGCAGAAGACAGTTCCACCTTGTCTCCTGCCTATGTCATCACTTGGGATCCCCTTCCTCCCATCACCAACTGCTGCTCTGGGCCAGAGTGAATGTGGGGGGGGGGGGGGGAGAGAAGACAGTTCCACCTTGTCTCCTGTGCTTTGCTAATAATATAATATAATGTAATATAATATATTGTATATACATATAATATTTATAATATTATAATGTAATATAATATAATATTAATAATTATACAATATTATTATATATTTTATATTACATGTAATATTACTAATAATATTACAATATAATGGTATAGTACAATATAGTAATATATAATATTGATATTGTACTGTGCTATTAATATAATGTATTGTATGTATATATATCTTGTAAGCCGCTCTAAGTCCCCTTCAGGGTGAGAAGGGCAGCATATAAATGTCGTAAATAAATAAATAAATGTATAAGGGAAGAAACAACAAATACTGGAAATGTAAAGAACAGGAAGGAACTTTCTTCCACGTGTGGTGATCTTGTAAAAAAGCAAGAGAATTCTGAGGCAAGGTACAAAAATGCTGCAAGAGTTTTTTCAATCTAAAATACAATTGGAGCCTGAATTATTTTTATTGGGAATGCCAAGTGAAATCATTACACTATAAAGTATTGCACTGCATGATAATAGCAGCAAGGTTAGTATACACGCAGTTCTGAAAGAAGATGACCCTCCCAATCATAGCAGAATGGATGGCTCAAGTTTAACCAGCAGAAATTGACAAATACCAGAAATTAGAAATGATAAACAAAGAAAAAAAAACCAAAATACCAAAAGAAACTTTAGCAAAGACTGGGAACCATTTCTAAACTTTGTAAACAAAAACATGCTTTTTATTTAATTTGCATTGAAGGTGCAAACAACAAAATTCTGCTGACAATAATATATGTAATGAGGTATCTTCAATTTCAAATATTTTGTCAGCCATATGAATCACAACCCCTTATCATCACATTTGGATTAAGACAAAATCAAAGTTTAAAATCAACAGTAAGGATTTTGATAGGAGTGTTCAGAATTAATGTTCTTGGATCATGTGTATCTATGGAGGTGGGGGGCTGGAGGCATAAATAATGCAACCAATGGCAAAATTGCAGGAGCTGTCATTTGCAAAGCAACTAAAAGCAAAAGATCTGCTCTCTCGGAAAGAGTCTCCCCAAGAAGTGAAAGCTCTGCATAAACGCGTGGGTGGGTGGATGTGATACACAGTAAGCGGTCCTCTGCCTTCATTACTCAAGCAGAGGAGCTCTTTGCCACCTTTGTTGAACTCTTGTAATCAGTTATGCTAATCATGTGAATAACTGCCATTAATAATAACAAAGGATTTCAAAATTTAGTCCGAATCTATGGCTTCACTAATGTAGTTGTAATGAGTCACACTGCTTTTTGACTTGAAATGTCCCATATTTGACTAATATGAACGCTAGGCTTGTGTAAAAAAAAATGGAGGTTTTGGAAATCGTAAGAAAATCAGAAATTTTGTAAGTTGGAAGCCATATTCAAAGCATTTGCATGGCCCACACCAAATATTTTAGAATCGAAACACCCCATACTTTTTGTTTTAGTTTTGTAAATCTTGAAAGGCTCCCAAGGACAGTTTCATATTCAATGCAAGGCAAGGAAGCAAAACCAAAGGCTGCCTTAGTGCCTTGCCATTCCTCTGTGAAATTAATGTAGTCTCGACATTAGCAGTGGGCAAAAGAGGGAGCAGTGTATTTTGGGAACACCACAGAAACTCTGGGAAATGTAGTTTAGGAAGGGAGGAGCCCTATGACAGAGAAACAGAGAAATTTCCCAGATTGCATCAGCATCAGAAAGCACCAATCAGGATAGCAGAGAGAGAGAGCTCTGTCCCTTCCTAAAACTTTGAAAATTCACCAGAAATTTGTGGATAAGTGAAACATTCTGAAATTTGGTGGGCTAACAGTGGCAAATGTGCTCTACCATTGTAGCAAGTTTCTCCCCAATAGGTTTAAAAAGGAGGGGGATATGAGCCCCTGAAGTTTCCCCAATTATAGTAATTTAATTATGCACTTGTGCAATTACTGTAATAAAATAATAACAAAATTTCATTTGTCTTGTTATAGTAATGGAATTTTCACTAAGTATACTTTAGAAACACTTTAGAAACGAAACACCAATGCCCCCAGTTTTGTAATTACTTTTCAACCATTTTTAATGGATTGCACATCCCTACTGAACACCATACATCTGCAAAGGAGTGAAATCTTATGTCCACTATCAATTTATCTATGAGAATGGTACATCATAATTGCATCGTGTACAATTAAGCAGGAAAATAGTATACTGTATCCAGCTCATGTATCTATCAATGTGCCTTGGCAAATGCTGACCACAAAACTTTGCTTCTTCTGATTCATTCGTGTTCCTGAATTTGACACTTTTGCGCCAGACCAAAGAGGAGCCTTTCTGAGACATGACATAATCTAATGGAGGAAAAGAGGAGATTACAGATGTGTGGCATTACAACAGACTCAAGGGAGAGATGGATTGGCATTTGTGTGGAGAAGAATATTATTAGCAAACATACCATGTTTCGTTGTACTGCTCAGTGCACAAAGGGAATATTAGACCTATTTGGACATGGTAAACTGGGTTGACACTGCCGTGCTGCTGAAAAGGTTACTTTTTGAGTCTGACGCTGCCCAAATCCTGCAGACAAGCTGGGCATCCTGCATGCTGTAATACAGGAATAGGGCCATTTGGGTTTCAGTCTTTCAGCCTAGGATTTCAGAATAAGGTTGTTGATCACAGAGTCTCTTGGAGGTCTCTCGTTCATAGGATCACCATAGGTTGAAACTGTTGACAGCAAGTAGCAGTAACAACAAAACTCAAGCAAATGAAATATTGTCTTTGAGTTACTGAAAACTTCTTTGAAATGAACTATTCTGTCATTCTTATTGAGACTCTAAGGAGAATATTGGTGAGAACGGTAAACTGGAGAAGTGGAGACTCGAAATACAGGTTTACTTCTAATCGACTTTGTGTTTTTTGGTAGTTTCTTTCGACGAGTCGTTACTAAAAATGCACGTGGACATTTCTGTTATCTCTACCATTGCTCAAGAGCAGTGGTTCCCAACCTTTTTTGACCATGAACCACTTTGACCTGTGAACACTTGACCAGGGACAACTTAACCAGGAACCAGTCTCCAACATTAGTACCAAATGGGTTACAAATCAGTTTTTGGTCAACTTTAGATTCGGTTTAGTTATTTGGTTCAGAAAATTGCATTGGATAGACCACATAAGCTCAAGTTTCTGATACAGAACATATGTCGTCCAGTAGTTGCAACAGCGTAATAACAGTGAGGCTGTTGACCATATATTAGTTCTTGGGTACCACTGGTGGTCCATGGACCACAGGATGGGAACCACTGCTCCAGAATGTTGCTTGCTCCTGATTTGATGTGTTCTCCTGCAACTTCAGAAGTGACTCCACCAAGGTTTATTCCATTCTTTTCCATCCTACAGATGCCTAGATATATAATTTTAAAATTTTGAGATGTTGTTCATGCAGTAAAACTCATTAGTAGGAACTCAAACTAGTTCACCAAACTCCAAGGCCTAGGCTTCCATAAGATGAATTGATGGTTTCAAATGTTTATAACAGGGATTCCCAAACTTCTGGGAGCTGATGCCCAAAACCCTTGGAAGGCCAGACTTCGGGAAGCGGTATGGTGGATATAGTGCACACATACTAATAAACTGAATTTTTAATAATAAAAAAACATAGTCTGGCTTTCTGTAAGATTAATGCCATTTAAATCAATAGTACTAACTTCCTAGAACAGCGGTTCTCAAACTGTGCTCTGTGGTTCCCTTAGGGCTCCATGCTTCCTTCCCCCTCCCCCTCCAAGTTTATGTTGGTTAAAATTGTTCTTCATTTCTCAAACAGGTAAAGCGAGCAACAATGTCCAGTGGGATGAAGACTCTGTAGAATACATGCCAGCCAACCCCGTCCGGATCGCATTTGTCTTGGTTGTCCATGGCAGAGCATCTCGGCAACTGACACGCATGTTTAAGGCTATTTACCATAGAGACCATTTTTATTACATTCATGTTGACAAGGTAAATATGTCACAGATTATGAAATGTTAGTCTTGCCATCTGCTGGTGTGCCCGTCTCTGCTGTCTCCTTTTTTAGATCTCTGCTGCTGATCTGGTCCCTAACACAGGTGTTATTCCTTGGAGTTCCCTGCCATTTGTCCATGCATACCTCTTGGCAGATAGTTATCTGTTCTGCAGCGCTAACTAATAAAATAATTCTTGGGGGAGGGGGCAGTTTCAGGGCCAGAAGACATCAGTGCTCTGGTTAGGTATACAGGAATTCCCCAAGTTACGAACAAGAGAGGTTCTGTAGGTTTGTTCTTAGAATCATAGAACCCTAGAGTTGGAAGAGACCTTGTGGGCCATCCAGTTCAATCCCATTCTGCCAAGAAGCAGGAAAATCACATTCAAAACACCCCTGACAGATGACCATTCAGCCTCTGTTTAAAAGTCTATAAAGAAGGATCCTCCACCACACTCCGGGGCAGAGGGTTCCACTGCTAAACAGCTTTCATAGTTTGGAAGTTCTTCGTCATGTTCAGGTGGAATCTCCTTTCCTGTAGTTTGAAGCCATTGGTCCGTGTCCTACTCTCCTAAGTTGAATTTCTTCGTAAGCTGGAACAGGTACACTTCTTAAGTGGAACTCCATCTGCCTGTCTGTCTTTGGATGGTGTTTGTTTTGTTGTCTATGCCCCTATTCAGAAGATCTCACCTCACTTTCTCTCCCTGTGAGAACTGGAGTTTTACAAATGTGGCTTGTTGTGTAAATAAGGATTGGAGATAAGGCTTCATTGGAGACCCCTTTCCCCCATGATAATAACTCTTCCAGGAGTGGATTTCCCTTCCTTCCCAGGGGGAGATTCCTCTCCCTTCCTGTTATCTCACCCCTGTTCTTAACTATGAGTTGTATGTAAGACAGATGTTTGTAACTCAGGGACAGCCTATACTACCAATGTTTGCCTGTAGAATGATTTCACTGTGAAGGGAAGGGGAGCTTGCCAATGCCAGCTAATAGCCTAGACAGTTTCATGCTCTTTCCCTCTTCCTCCATTTGCTAAACAGCCTGTGCTGGGGAAGGCATTTAATTTGGTTGTGCAATAGCACAGTGACAATAAAGCTATTCTATTCTATTAACTGAAGGGCTTTGCTTCTCCTCTGCCATCCCTAAAAAGGGGGAGAAGGAGAAGCAGTGCAAAGTCAGGAAGGGAATCCCAAGGGTGCGTTTACATGGTTTGAATTAATGCAGTTTGACACCTCTTTCACTGCCATGGCTCAGTGCCATGGAATCGTGGGAGTTGCGGTTTGCTAAGGCACCACCATCCATTGGCAGAGAAGACTAATGACCTTGGAAAATTACAACTCCCATGATTCAGTAGCATTGAGTTAAATAGATGTCACTAGATTGTCTGTACCCAGTGTGTGTATGATACACATGTTTTGTTGAAGCGAGTATATGATTTTGCTGTTGTGCTTTTCAGGAGTAATGGCATCTGATGGTGGTGGAAATATCGCTGTCTGGTTTAGTTGCATGTATGCAACCAAACAGGACTTTACGTGAACATTTTTTTTTCCTTCCCCGTACAGCGTTCCAATTACCTGCATCGGCAAGTGCTCCAGTTTGCAAGCCAGTATCCCAATGTGAGAGTCACATCTTGGCGCATGGCAACTATCTGGGGAGGAGCAAGCCTGCTGTCCACTTATCTGCAAAGCATGCAGGATCTTTTGGAAATGAAAGACTGGCAATGGGACTTCTTCATTAACCTCAGTGCTGCCGATTACCCCATCAGGTAGGGCAACTAATAGGCCTGTGAGATCAATGAAACAGTGTTTGAATACTCATTACAAAATTAGGGGGTGAGGGGGGGAATTGTTTGTAAAATGTTTCCGAAATTGGACAGTGTCTATATTGTAACTACAACAAGGTAACTACTTTTTCGTTACTTTTCGTTAAGTAACTGTGCCAATGGGGAAACTTCAAGGGCTGCTTTTCCATCATTGTTAGAGCTACCGGCATGAAACTTGCTACGTTTATAGAACTCATTTACGACTGTTAGCCCATCAAGTTTCAGGATGTTTCACTCATTCACAGAATTTTGGGGAATTTTCAAATGTTTTACAAACAGTATTTTTTTTAAAAAAAACTTACAAGAGCTATATTCTTGAATTGTCTATACAATGACACAAGATAACAGCGGATTATTCCCCCCAATTTTTAGAAATATTCATACATCTTAAGTTTTTGGGAAATTTTTAAAGTTTTGACAAAAAAGATTTACAAAAAGCCACGACAGCCATCTCATTGAATGTCTCTCATATTAACTAATTGAACTTCAATTTAGGGATTTCTTCCCAGCCCAGCACAGATTTACATACTAGTATTGAAGTATTAGTCAGTCCTCCTCTGTGCAGATTCTACCATTCATTGGCATTCTGGCTGCTGCTAGAAGGGACACATCTCTCCCCTCTCTTGATTGGGGCTTTCTGATGTTGAGCAGAATTCTGGGAAATGTAGTTCAGGGCAGGACCTTTTGTATTCTCTGGCGTAGGGCCCCTCACTTCCCAAACTCCGTTTCCCAGAATGCTGTGCTTTCTCAGTCTCTTTTCCAGCTCACTCAGCTTTGTCCCACCTTGCTACTTTCCTCTCCTCATGGCGAGAAGCCATTAATTGGAAGAATAATGGCAGACTTTTGGCCTCACTTGCTTGCACTGAAAACAAAACTCACTTTGATGGGTTTCCGAGCATTACAGAATTCAAACAAAAAAGTATTGGGTGAGTTCTGATTCTTAAGTTTTTGCGTGGGCAGCCCCCCCCCCCCCCCCAATGTTTCTTAATATCTGTTTGTATATACAAAACTTATGAATTAGGTACCGGGGATTTGCATTCTGGGTAAAGCTTGATCCATTTCATGTCCCAGCTTTCAGTGGGGCCCTGATCCATTTTTTGGGAGCCTCCTGAAATCAGGAAGGCAGACATCAGTTTTCATTCTGCGCTGCTGAAAGACCCAATTTTTTATCGGCACATTAATGGGGGGGGGGTGACCTTCCAAGGCTCCCCTTCCCATCATTTTAGGCATTTAAGCTGTTCTACTCTAGAGGGGATGTGCTTGGCTGCAGGCAGATGCATGCGCTTTCTCTCCTGGGGCTGCACGCTACACGCATACTCTTTCCAAAGCATTTAAAGGAGGCGAGCAAGTTCTTTAAACTGTTTCTTACTCTAGAGGAGATGCTCACATGCCAGCAGGCACACACACTTTCCATTCCAAGGCATTTAAAGGAGGCAAGCAAGTTCTTAAAGCTGTTTCTTACTCTAGAGGAGGCGCTCAGCTGCAGGCAGGCACATGTGCTTGCCAGCAGCCACACACTCTTTCCAAGGCATTTTAAGGAGACTCCCCATTTCCAGGTAAGAAAGAGCAATGACCTCCTGGAAGAGGTGAGGTAACGGGTAGTAGTTTTCAGGGAATGAGGGTTTACTTATTGTTTGCTGGGAGATTAATAAAAAAGATTAAACTCTGACGCCGAAAAGCAGAGGAGGAGCCGGGATTGGCTTCTGCTTGCTTTTGTGTCGAGCTGATTTTCATACCGGGAGGGGCTTTCCCATTACATGTTCCCAAAAGTAACGAAAGTAACAAAAGAATGCATGAAATGAAGGAAAACATTTCCATGCACATGTCTATTAGATACAACTTATGATCTCAAAACGGGGATTTGCACACCCCTAGTCACTAATAAGCCCCACCGCCAATCAGAGTAAATAATACTGACCTAGATGGAAAAATAATCCTGATATAAGGCAGCATTTTTGTGTCCAGGTGCTACACAAACCACCTTTGCAGTTCATCGGGGGACAACACGGGTATAAAACAGTTCATAAATTGTTCGGGTTTTTTTAATGTCCTCCAGATGGGCTCGATAGAAACCAACTGCCAACAAGCTAATGGCTGGTCTTTAAGGAAAGGTCAAACCAAATAATATGCAAGTCATGGGAGTTGTTTAGTGCTGTCATAAGATGCATTTACTTATTAGCTATGCTCTGGAGTACAAGCATCTCTGTGTTCTGCACTGTGGATTTTCTGGCAAGGAAGAATGTTCTTGTTTGGTCTAAATTGATTTAAACTGTACCCTGAGGTCTGGATCAAGGAGGCTATTATTTTGTCCTTTCCCTTCCTGCTTCTCCTCAAAAGGGAGGTGGTGGGAAAAGGATGGGGAGCATTAATACCAGTGGCATCAAGGCAAAGCATACCTTATGGGATGATTGCAATGATGATTTATTCATACCAGAACTCGAGGCAGCTTGCAAAAGTTAACACAAACAAAATACATTGGAATCAGAAAGATCAGAAAGAGACCACATGCAGGATGCCGGAGGAACATCTCATTTTAATGAGGCCCCTTCTACACTGCCATAACATCCAGATTATTAAAGCAGATGATCCACATTATCTGCCTTGAACTGGATTATATGAGTCTACGCTGCCATATAATCCAGTTCCAAGCAGATAATCCAGATTTTACATGGCAGCGTAGAAGGGGCTTCGGTCAGCATATGGAATAGTAAGGGATTATGGCAGCTGTGGTCATTACTAGGCTAGATTGAGCTTCATTTGGTTTAATGCAGTTTGCTATATGACTAAGATTAAATGTTTCCTTTATCCATTATTGGCATCCTAATTTCTCTTGTTTGTATCTGAGTATGCTTTCATGATGTTTGAGGGTAAGGGTTAGGGTTCATCCCATGTGTCTTGATTTAAGAAATCTGAAGTAAGTTGCTGCCCGTCACAGTAGGCAACACTGTATCAATGGATGCATGGTTTTAGTAAAAAGCAATGGATGCATGATCTTATTTTATCTATCTTTCTATCTATCTATTTATTTATTTATTGCACTTATATAGCACTTTTCTCACCCCTAGAGGGACTCAAAGTGGTTCCCAACATAATCAATGGCAAAATTCAATGCCTTACATGTATAAAACAACACATATCAAAACAACAACAACGACAATAGATTAAAAACATAAAAATTATAAAACTATAAAACAACACAATACATAAAACATTTAAGACTTGCACAGTCCTGAGGATATCTTTAACTACTTCCATATTTACATGTTTCTGTCATTCACCAAATGCCTTCTTAAATAACCAGGTCGTAAATTGTTTCCTAAAGGCTAGGAAGGAAGGGGCCTATCTGATCTCCTTGGGGAGGGAGTTCCACAGCCAAGGGGCCACCACTGAGAAGGCCCTATCCCCCGTCCCTTCCAATCGCACCTGCGAAGGTGGAGGAACCGAGAGCAGGGCCTCCTCGGTAGATTTTAGGGTTCTAGGTGGCTCATAAAAGGAGATGTGTTCAGACTGGTAAGCTGGACCGGAACTGTTTAGGGATTTTTGGTTAAATCCAGCATTTTGAATTCTGCTCGGTAGGAGACTGGCAGCCAGTGGAGCTGACGGAACCGGGGGTTGTTATGCTCCTTGTACATCGCTCAAGTGAACAACCTGACTGCTGCCCGTTGGACTACTTGAAGCTTCCAAACAGTCTTCAAAGGCAACCCCACATTCAGTAGTCTAAATGAGATGTGATGAGATCATGGACCACTGTGGCCAAGTTTGGCTGCTCAACATACGGGTGCAGCTGGCACACAAGTTTTAATTGTGCAAATGCTCCCCTGACCACCGCAGAAACCTGGGGTTCCAGGCTCAGTGATGAGTCCAGGATCACTCCCAAGCTGCAAACCTGATCCTTCAGGGAGAGTGTAACCCCATCCAGCACAGGCTGTAACCCTATACCCTGTTCAGCCTTACAGCTGACCATGAATACCTCTGTCTTGTCTGGATTCAATTTCAATTTGTTTGCCCTCATCCAGACAGTCACAGCTGCCAAGCACTGGCTAAAGGATCTTAATAGAAAGTAATAATGCATGCTGTTAGTAGAAAGCAATGGCTGAATGATCTTAATAGAAAGTAATGAATGCATGCTTTTAGTAGAAAGCAATAGATAGATGTTCTTAGTAAAAAGCAATGGATGCATGCTCTTAGTAGAACGCAGAGGATCTAGACATAGAGTTTCTTTTATATATCCTATGTTTCGTACAACTCCCAGAATCTTTTTTTTTCCTATGTAATCCTTCACTGACAGCCATGGAATCCAAGTGCATCTCATGATCTTTATCCAATAATGTACTTACTGTTTTCTCCACTTTTATTTGTTTTTTTTCCTCCAGTGTTTGTACGTTCCGCTTAATCTGACCCATATTTATTAACATGTGAGTAATGCTATTGTAATTACATTTTTATAGAGTTGAAATTGAGATAGAGTTGTGATGTAGGGGTTTGAGTGTGTAACTAGGAAGCTAGGGCTCCTTCTACCCTGCCATATAAAATCCAGATTATCTACTTTGAACTGGATTATATGGCAGTGTAGATTTATATAATCCAGTTCAAAGCGGATAATATGGATAATCTGCTTTGATAATCTGGATTATATGGCAGTGCAGAAAGGGTCTAGGATTCAATTCCCCATTTGGCCTTGGGCCTACCCAAGTTCCTCTGCTTCGGAGAAAGGCAAGGGCAAACGTATTCTGAGCAAATTCTGCTAAGAAAATCCTATGCAATAGGGTTGCCATCACTCAGAAATGACCTGCAGGCCCACTGAATATGCTTATAAATAAGCTTATTTCAAAATCTTTTGAGTATTTGCTGAAGTAAAGTATTGTTCTGGCCAAATTCATCTGGGCCTTGTTCATAATATATTTTGGCTGAGTTTAAAAGATGCAAAACTCTCTGGCAAAGCA